TAAATTTTTTTATAAAAATTCTTTTAGTTTAGTGTAATATTAAAATGATTAAAATAGACCTTTTTTACTTATTAAAACACTACTCTCACTTTATTTTTTATTTTTATAGAACTTTAATTTTAATAATTTTAAAAGTGATGGTTGAAAATTAGTTCTTCATATTTTAAAATATAAATACTAAATAAATGTTTATATTTTAATATTGAAAAATAAACCATACTACATTTAAGTTACATAAATAAAACAAAATAAATGAAAAATATTTTGGTAGGCATGTTAAGATAAACGGTTTTTTTGCCAAAAAAACAGATATTATTACTATTAAAAACCAACTACATTGTTCAAATTTTATGTACAATACACCACAAAACAAAAACAATAAAATCAATCAATGAGCTCAAACACTGACTAAAAGATAGGTGGGGCAGGCAACCCATCCTTATCCAGTATTATATCATTTTCTAAATGAGAAAATTAAATTGCTAAACTAAAGCATTGTCTGATGCTTCAATTCCACTAGAGCCTTCTATGCCTCCATGCTGTCTTGCCCTCCATTTCCCTACCACAATCAAATTAAGAAGCCTATTAAAGAAATCTTTATCACTATTTTTATAAGAATGTGCTTGTGCGAATAATCCTTACTTGCAGGCATTGATGCAATCATACAGAAGTTAACTCTAAGGTTGCTTTCTCAGTAACCTTTTCATTGCATCAATTTTGCTCATCTTCATAAGAATCCATTGCTTGGTAGATATTATTGAAAGCAGCCACCGCACTATAGGCAGATTTGGCTCCACATCCACCTAAAAATGTATCCAAATTAACTAAAGGCCCATTTGGTGTGGCTTGTAAGAGCTTTTGTTTTTTAAATACTGTTATGAATGATAAATTCAAATTTTTATTGAAGGAAATATTTTAAAGTTGCTTTTAAAGACAGGAAAAAGTCAGTGAATAGTGAGTAAAAAAAGAGTTTATGAAAAGTTTAGATTTGAAGTTTTTGAGTTTTTAATGTTTAAGGTCTTTTTAAGGTTAAAAAAAATTAAAAATATAAGTTTTTAAAAGGAAAATTTAAACTTATGAAATATAAATAGTATAAAAAAGCTGAAGCTCCTAACAGCTCCACCAAACAGGCCCTAAATAAGACATGATCCTTGTAGAAAAGTAGAAATAGGAAGAATCAATAATCATAGAGACACCAAGTTGCTGCCAATAGCACAAAAACCAAAAATGGAAAAGCTTTCTGAAACACATTAAGGACATATTTATTTATGTAAAGAGAACAATCAGCAAACCATCCAAATGTTAATTGTTCATGAACATGCATCCAACCATAAAAGTTTTTTTGATAGTTATATCAAGAATATTAAATCCCACCTTCATAACGGATTGCTGCTTGTGGGTTTCAAGATAAGTATATCCATATATTGAAGCACAACAGTTGCACTAGAAAAATAGAATTATGAGCAGAGCTTAATAAAATGGACATGCCCAAGATAGTGAAGTTACAGTATGTTGGAAAAATAGGAACGGTGGTGCAAAAGAAGCAAGCATGGATGATAGGTATTTCAGAATCTAAAAGGATAAAAAGACAATGAATCTCTTGTACCAAATTTCCTTGATCTTTTTCTAGAAAGAAAAAGTGGAAAAAATTCTAATGTTCACTATAATTAACTTCCTCGATAGGCTCCCAGGAAAAGGTTTGAGCAGAAAAGCTGAGTCTTTTCTTTGGAAAGGATAAATCAACTTCGGCGAATTTTTCACTTCTAGATGAATACCATTTGCAAAATAAAAATCACAAGTCAAGCTCTAGATTGTCAGGACATGAATGAATGGCTAACAAACCATCGAATGAAACTGAAACCAATCAATAATCACAAGTCCTGAACCCAAATTCTTGCAACCAACCTTCCCCTACCAAAAGACAAAACAAGTCATGATCAAGAAGGCATCAATTCACTACCACAAGCAATCACTATAGTCCCAAAATCTCAAGTAAACAAAGTACTTACAAAAACCAAGTCTGCAGGTGATCTCGAACAAAAAAAAAAAAAAAAAAAAAAAAAGGAAAAGAACCTGTCTCTTAATAATATACCAGAAATATGTCAGACAAAGAGGAAACTAGTATCAATAAAAATACATACCAGTTCTTGTGTATAAATCAAAAATTATAACTGTCTTGTATATAATTCTGAGGAAACTAGCATCAAGCTACCGCTTAGAAGATGGAATACTGAAAAGCATACAAATAAGAGTAAAAAATTTAGAGAAGCAGAGAATATATTGCTTAAATTGACATTAAAAAGGTGAGAAACCTCAGCCCTGACCAAATTCCGATCCCTTCGCATCTCATCGACAGTTGCCACCATAATTTGGAAATCAAAATCCTGGCACAAATGAAAAAAATATAGATTTGAGTGAATCAAACCAACAAAAAAAAAAAAAAGAAAAAAGAGAGAGAATCAATCAGGTCCAATCTGTTAATCCAGTATTCAAACCAATCCAGGAGGAGGTTGATTAATCCAGTTGCTAAGACATAGCTCTTTCCTACTCTTCACTCGTGGTTTTGGCTCCATCTTCAAACCTTGATTTCCCATTGCTAGTGCTGGTGCTGTTGTTATTCTCCATGAGATTCCAATCGATTTCTTACATACTGTTTGGATTGGAGGTGTTGAACAGAAAGGGAGGGGAAGGGATGGGGACGATGATAAGGGAGGGGGAGTGAGGGGAGGTTGTCTCCTTCCTCCTGTTCGGATTTCCAAAGATGCTCAAATCTGTTGATTTGCAATCCCTTTGACAAAGGAGAAGGGGCTGGCAACGTTGTGTGGCGAGGGATTTGTTATAATGTGGTGTATATATAGGAGTTTTAGTTGTAAATATGTGAAAGAGGAATGGACAAAATAGGAAGATTGTAATTTTCATTAAAGATGCGGAGAAGCTCACCAAAAAGCATGAATTCTTTGCTACTCCATTTTTGACTTCTCAAAAGCTCAAAATACCTTTTTCATGTGCTAGAGCTTGTGCTGATAAAATGAGTGTTTGGCATAACTAGTGATTACAACTGAGAAAGGCTTCTCAGCAGCTCCATCAAACACACACCTACGTATTCATGTGGCTAAAACACAACACTCCTCTAATTCTCCCATAAATTAATCCGGGTTAAAGCTAACTATAGTCCCTCTACTTTCAATTTTCATTCATTTTCCTCCCTACACTTACAAATCATTCAAGTCCTCCCTCTACTCTTCCAATCCATACTATTGTTCTCCCTCTACTTTAACTTTCCATTACCTTTGCCTCCTTCCCCTCACAACACCTTAACACCGTTTATAAATCCCATTTGATGGATCGTTAAGTGCAATATTTTATTTATTTTTTGTTAAATTATGTTATGAACGTCATCAAAATTCATATAAAAGGTATTTGCTAGAAATACTAAAAATTTATAAAAACTATTATATATACTCAGTTTTCAAGGTTGTTTATTGCATTTTCATGAAATCCAAAAAAAGAAAAAAGAAAAAAGAAAAATTTATATTAACAATGTTATCTAAACTACAGATTTTTCTCTTTTTTTTTTTCTTGAAAATGTATAACTAAAAATTTCAATGATAACATAAACATACAATACCAATGCTCAAATTTAGAAACTCAAATAATGTAATTGATTAAATATATTATGTATTGAAAAAAACAAACTTTTAACTACCCACATGTTCTTGAAACGAAAAACATGTAATAAAGAACTTCATTCAATAAATTAGATAAGGCATTAAATAGATATTAATGTTTGTCCTTTTTTTTTTTCTTTGGTAATTATAGTTAGAGTATCCTCAAACTAGTTTTTGTATACTTTAAGACTAATTTTCCCTAGGTGATTTTAAAAGATGCATCCCCCATATCAGTCTAGTGCATTCAGGGAAATTAATTTCTTTAGGTATTGAGCCCAAGACTTAAATACTAGATTTGGCCTATAAACTAAGGTTTTTAAAACCAAATCGGTTATTGAACCATTTTCAGGTTTGGTTTTTGGTTTGACCGGTTCAATAGGTTCAACTAGTGAACCAACCGGTCCAAACAACAAGGAAGAATCTGATGAGGGGGCAAGCAATTTTGTAATTTTATTAAAATTAAGGGTTAAAATTGGTATAAGAAAGGAATGGTGAGGGTGAAATTGGAAAAAATAGAAAGAAGATTGCATGAGAAATTGAACCGGTAGTTTTTTTGGTTCTATCGGTTCCACTAGTTTTGATCGGTTTTAACTAATTTTGACATCAAATGATTTTTTTATGTAAACCAAACCGTTTTCATTATCGAGCATCGGTCTGATCGGTTCAACTGGCCGATCCGGTCCAATTTTAAAAACCTTGCTATAAACGAATTCTTATGTATTAGTAAATCTAACCTTTGGAGTTAAGATTAATGTTTATCAATTGAATCTCAAAAAAATTAGAAGAAAACTACATTATTTCATTAAAGCACTATAGGAAAAGATCAAAACAAACTAATTCTTGGTTTAAAAATGAGTTATTTTAGTTTTTTTAATAAAAATTTATAAAAACAACATAGTTTTAAATCATTTTTCTCTTAATTTTTTAGAGATTTGACTGATACACACATATATTTTATAATTATTTAGTAACAAAGTCATAAACCTCGAATTTATGACAACACAACCAAATTATACTTTCTTTAAACAAATCAAGCAAAACCATAAATATATAAAATGGTAAACAAATCTCTATATAATCAATTAAATAAGGGTATTAATCTTAATTAATTGAATAATTAAATTAGATTTTTATTGCACCTAACAACTTGACAAACTTCTTGCTAACATGGTTTTTTTGTAGGGCCCATGCATAAATACAATTCAACCAAAAAAAAAATATTACACTTAACAGTCTATTAAATGAGAGTTATAAGAGTGTTAGGGTGGTGTTAAGAGTGTTGGAGGAGGGAGGTAAATGTAATGGAAAGTTAAAGTAGAGGGAGGACAATAGTATGGTTTGGAGGAGTAAAGTGAGAACTTTGAATGATTTGTAAGTATAAGGAGAAAAATGAACGAAAATTGAAAGTAGAGGGACTACTATTTGCTTTAACCCAATTAATCCCTCCAAAGTGTCCCTGCCGTCCCTTCCCAGTTCCCAGAGCTCCAAAATGGCCATCTTCACCAAACTCTGCAGAGCCTCTTCGTGCGTCAAGGCCACTTTTCTCCTCCGCCAAGAGAGCTGTATGAGTAATGTCCCCGTGAGCAACGTCTACGGCGGGGCGAAGCCCCAGAACCCCAATCAGAGATTACTTTAACCCAGTTGCGGCAAAAGCACAAAAAGGCCGAGCCGATCACCGTCGTCACAGTTTACGACTACCAGTTTCGGTGCACCTCGACACAGCCGGAATTGATATGTCTGCCTCGTTGGCGACTCTGCCTCCATGGTGGTTCACGGTCACGACACCACACTTCTTATCTGGCCGGATGAAATGCTTGTCCATTGCCGTGCTTTTGCTCGTGGTATCGAGCGACCGTTGCTTGTTGGTGATTTGACTTTTGGAACATATGAGTCTAACACTAGTCAGGCACTCATGAAAGAATGCATTTTGGCTTTGTGGGGAATTTGAGTGTGAGATGGTTTGTGATTCTGATATTGTTACAATTTAAATTCTGTGCAGGCAGTTGATGCGGTAGTAAGGGTGTTGAAGGAAGGAGCAATGGATGCTATCAAATTGGAAGGAGGTTCACCTTCGAGAATCACGCGGCTGCCTGAGCGATTGTTGAAGCTGGAATTGCTGTCATGGGGCATGTGAGACTTAAGCCTCAGTTAATTAGTGTGTTAGGGGGATTCAGGTCTCAAGGGAAAACTGTCTCCAGCGCTGTCAAGGTCTTCTCATTCTTCGTAAATCATAATTTATGTACTTGCGTTAGTTTATGTTCTGTTACCGTGTGTTTATTTTTGTTGGTATATGCAGGTTGTGGAGACTGCATTGGCTTTGCAGGAAGCTGGATGTTTCTCAGTTGTTTTAGAATGTGTTCCTCCGCCTGTGGCTGCTGCAGCCACATCTGCCCTTCGGATTCCAACAATTGTTGTTGGAGCTGGACCTTTCTGTAGTGGACAGGTCAATTTTTGAATCTTGTTCCCCCAGAATTTTTAATTTATGCTTCCATTTGGGCTGATCCATTTGCGATCAAATTTATGCCCTATCTTTGGCAAAAAAGCTCCGGAATAATAATACATTAATTAGTTTGGATAATATAGGTACTTGTTTGCCATGATCTATTGGGAATGCTTCAACATCCGCGTCATGCCCAGGTTAACTTCATGATGATCCTTCACTATGGTACATCAATTTTTACTTTCTATGTCATTAGTTTCCTCACAAAAGGATTCCTTTAACTTCTATAGGTCACACCGAGGTTCTGCAAGCAAAATGCTCGTGTTGGAGATGTCATCAACAAAGCACTTTCCGAGTAGAAAGAAGAAGTGACAAACGGCTCATTTCCTGATCCTGTCCACAGTCCATATAAAATCAGTGCTGATGAAGTGGATGGGTTCTTAGACGAGTTTCGAAGATGGGTTTGGACAAGGCAGCATCCGCAGCAGCTGAAGCGGCCGAGATGATGGATAAAAAAGAATCACTTGCAAAATAACTGAAGAAGAAACCATACCGGACATTTGCCCCTTTTAGGGTTGATCAAATGAAGTGATGCTTGGTAGCACCAATTTTTCCTTAAAATTGTTCTTGACTAGCTTAAACCACCCCACTCTGCGGGATGTCACCAAGCGGTTATCATTTTATCATTTTTTGTTGGAATTTAGATGTGTATGTATCTAGTAATTGTCATGAAATTTCAAATTAGTCATGCGTGGCGAGGTGCTGTATTACGTTAGTATTTTAAAATTTGTACTGCAATGTATTGTAAACCTTGTAATCATACCATATGCAGCACGTAAGCAAATTACAATCTTAGACATGTGCTGAAATGAGTGAAACAATCACACGTTACAATTGAATTTAGAAAAAAAAAATGATAAGACTAAGTGGTCAGGTAAAACGTGGGTGTTAAAAATGGACTTTTGGATCTAATAGACCAATTCTAAGTAATATTTTCAAGGCAGATAGATAAATAAACAGAGAAAGAAAAAGAAATCTACAGAAAACATTGAAAACTCAATAATATCATAGGAGCAAATCCATCCCTGAAACCTGAATATTCCCTGCAACAAATGAAAGAAGGTAAATCAATATATGTAAAATGGATTCATGGTACCATAAAACATAACAACCCTCGTCCAGTTAAATGCCAATCTTTCTACAAATATTGAATCAAAGAACCAAATACATTTGATGACAGTCAAAGCAACTTACAGATGGAGAACATAAAAAGACCAGGGAATGCATTAGAACAAAACATTAAAAGAAAACAGCAATGAGATGGCAATTGCCATCATGCAATTTTATATGCCTAAAAGACCAGATATTTTGCAGACATAAGAACAAATTTCAGATTACCTCCAGTTTGTATTCCATGGTAGGAGTCTCTGAAGAACCCTGACATTTGTTGTATCTATTAAGTGTTTTCTTCATTCTACAGAAATGAGTGAATCACCATAAGTCAACATCTTTACCTTGCAGAGAAAGAGAGACATAAGGACACATCCTCTTGGACCATCAAAATATAACACATTATATTAGAAATCTACTAAGATGAAGTAGAACATGCAAAAATCAGATATATAGTTGGAAACATGCAGATCATTTTACTTATATTTTCCTCAAAAATAAAAGTTATTGTGAAGTTCAGTTTATAGAATCCAAGCAAAATGTATAGCCTTAAGAACAAAAATTCGCCCCCTCCTTTATTTTACAGGAAACTAAAAGATAAAAGAAAATGTTCGAACTCCAAAATACCATCTCAACAGACATCAGACATGCAGAAACTCCACAAAAACTCTCAGAATTCCAGCAAAATTCTAACAAATTTTTGAAAAAAGAAAAGGCCAAAGGAAAAGAAAGTCTCAAATACAAATACAAACCCCACTAACCTCTCTACTTTCCTTTTTTTCTAAAAGGAAAAAATTAATCCAATAACATGTTAACCACATGCATGAGAAGAAAAATCATTTGCTTACCCAGAGCTGGCAAACTCAAAGAGCTTGCCAGTGTTGGAGAAGATGGTAACCATAACCTCAGCATCACCCAGAATGGCTACTTGTTGACCCAAAAAACTCTTTAAACTTAAAAATCTATCATTTTTTTGAACTAAATAAGGAGAGTCAACAGATTAAGCTTAAAGATCTCATATTTTTAACCTAAGATCCCACCATAGGCATCCATAAATCCATTTTAGTCTGTAAAAATGACACAATTTAGTCCATGCAGATAATACTTGAATTGCATCCCTTTCTTTTTTTTTTTCTTTTTTTCACTGCATTCCAACTGTATCAATCTAGTTCTTCAATCAGACGTTTTCACTTGAGCGCAAGTTCATGACAGAATCAAGTTGAAAATTCAGCATTTGTTGAACAAACATCAGGACAAGACCATCGTGAAAGAAAACCCCTTTATTTTCAATACAACTCAAAACACCATCTTCGAATGCTTGCATAATTCCACGATCGATCATCACCATGATGCACAGCAGAGCAATCAGAGTCCCCATGAGCAACCACTAAATTCTCTGACCGAGATGAATTATTTAAAAAACCATCTTCAAGAAATACATCATTTTATGCATTGCCCGAAAAACAAGTAGAAAATGACGACAATAGATCTTGGCTTTCCAGCTATCAGGCAAGATATCACCTAGCAGTGCCTTTTCATCCCCATTGTCACCTTTCCAAGCATATCTAAATCCATTTGCCACACCGAAAGTTTTTTTTCTTGCATTTGATGTTCTCCATGGCAAGGTAATACAGAAACAATGAATGTTCCAAGAGAAGCAAATAGGAGTACTTACTAAGACACACAAAGTATAACAACAAACACAAAAAGATATATCCTACAAAACAATCATCATCTTCACCAAAAAAGTTATTAAGAAAAAACAAAGCACATACAAAAATGCGAACAGAAAAATCCCAGAAGGTTCCAAGAGAAACTGAACTCTAGCGAAAAAATAAAAAGCAATAGCCCATCAAAAGAGCAAGGAACGTAGATCTTCCTGCCAAGACAGAGCAAGCAAGTAAACCTCCAGAATATTTCTTAATAGCATAAATCGAAATAGAAAATAAAGAACACAACACCTGAACTGATAAATTCTAGCTCAAAGTTAATTTGGAATCAGAAATTGCAAGAAAGGATGACTTTTCCTGTGCGGAGGCCTGCATTCAGCGAAGGAAATGGCAACCCCTTCGCGGAAACAAATCAAAGTATCGGCAGTCCGAACGACACGTATTTATCCAAAGGTTAAATGCAAAATTTAGTTCTGAACTTTCAATTTCAAGTAATTTGGTTGCTAAACTTATTTTGCTTTTTTATTTTATTCTTTTACTGTAACAAATGCATTTTTTTTTTGTCGTTCCATTAATTTTATTCATTAAATTTCTTAAATTGGCATTATTTTGTTCTTAAACTTTGTTTTATACATATTTTTTATTCCCAAACTAATATTTATTGTATATTTTTAATTCTTAAATTTTAAGTTTAATGACAAAAAAAAATGACAATTGTATAAATTTAATAGACAAAATTAAATTAACAGAATAATTATATAAGGTATATTTTTTATAATTAAAAAAAATTAATTTAGAGATTAAAATTATTTAAAATTAAAATTTTAAGATCTATGACATTTAACCTTATCTCCAGTTGTTAAGGTCTATTTTGTTGGGAAGCTTTTACTATAAACTTTTCATTGTAGGGTTATTTATGTATATTTATACTTTAATATTATAATAAAAAATAAAAATAATATTTTTAGTCTTTTAATTTTTTGACATAATTTCTAACTAATAAATTTTTATTCTTATACCTTTTAAAGAAGAGAAGTTTCTCTTTAACTTTTTTAATGTGGAACTTATTTAATAACTTTCATATTACTAACTTTTCCTATTTTGATTTATTATTAGATACAATAAAATAATGACATAATCCTTAAATCCAACCCTCAAATAGGGTGGTAAAGATAAATCCGTCTCTTAAAAAAATACAGAGATAAATTGTCCTTTTAAATTATAAATAAAAATAAATTACTTATTTTTTAACTTGTGAAATCAATTTTTTATTGGCCACGTAAATATTTTTTAACAGAAAAATTGATGTCATATATTAAAAACTGGATGATTTATATTGATTTATAATTTAAAGAGACAATTTATTTCAGTATTTTTTTAAAAGGTAAATTTGTTTAAAGAGGCATCTTATTTAAGGAGTGGATTTAGGAGTTTTACCTAAAATAACAATCCATCCCAACAAAACTTTATTAAAAAATTTATTAATTTTTCGTAATTTTTCAATAATTTTTTTTAATAAAATTAATCATTCACTAAATAGATATTTATTGTATTAACCTATAAAAATACATATATAATCCTATAAAGGGAAAAGTTAGGGGAACTTTCCCACTCAAACACTCCCTTAATGCCACCATATGGTAAACTCACAGTCTATAAAAAAAACATTGACAAATAATTTTATTTCAAAGTGGTAAAAAATTTCATCATTTCCTTCTGTTTCCTCAAAACTAAACATACCCTTCAAGTTTTATCTACTTTGTTTGAAACATAATTAAATTAAAATTAAAATCAAAGGATGACAATGAATTCACGCATCTAATCTCTCAAGTGAAAGCACTAATTATTTAATTACTACAATGGTAATTTCTTTTTCATATAGGGAAAGAGATTCTAAATTTTAATAGTCGACATGTTAGTAAGTTAAGCAAAAAAATATGAGAAAGTTATTTCTCATTATAAAATTTAATTTTTATGAAAAAAAATTCTTTCTAACAAAAGTAAAAAGTTATCTATTGGAATTGTAATCTTATAAGTATGAAGGTGAGATATTGTAAAAATGAAGCAAGCTGCTTTTATCAACCAACTTAATTTTATTCTAAAAATACCTAAATTAAAACCCTTTTATTTTAAAATTTTTAACTCTTTTTTTTTATACATAACAAATAAAAAGGTATTGTATAGTATAGATAGTAAAACAACAACTTTATATAAGAAAGGTTTTCAACTTTTATTGGTAAGTGATTTTAAGAAAGAGAGAAATTCACTAGTAACTTGATAATTTAACTGATTAAAAAAAAATTAAGAATTTAAATATTATAAGCTTGGGGTTTCAATTTTATTTCTAGTAAGAAAAAATTTAGAAAAGGATGCTAATCCACTATCATACGAAAAAAAATAAAAAATAAAAAGGGTTGACTGGTAAAGTGGTTAACACACGCGCCGTAGGCGAGTGAGAATTTGAGATAACCAAACAAGGAGGAAGCAAGTTTGAAATTAACCTCCTTTCCAACTACTAAATACTACTGGTGCAGGTGGTGCACCGCTCCTTCATTTCCCCCATAAATTAAGCCACCTAAAATCTCACTCTCCATCCCTCTCCAGAGTTCCAAAATGGCCCTCTTCACCCACCAAGGTCACCTTTCTCCTCCGCCAAGTGCGGTGTATGAGCAATGTCCCTGAGAACACCGTCTACGGCGGGCCAAAGCCCCAGAACCCCAATCAGAGAGTTACTCTAACCAATCTGCGGCAGAAGCACAAAAAGGGCGAGCCGATCACTGTCGTCACCGCTTACGACTACCCATCAGCGGTACACCTCGACACAGCCGGAATTGATGTCTGCATCGTTGGCGACTCTGCCTCCATGGTGGTTCACGGTCACGACACCACACTTCCTATCTCGCTGGATGAAATGCTCGTCCACTGCCGCGCTGTTGCTCGTGGTGCCAAGCGCCCGCTACTTGTCGGTGATTTGCCCTTTGGAACATATGAGTCTAGCACTAGTCAGGTACTCATCAAAGAATGCATTTTTTCCCCCCTTCCCCAATGAAAAAAGGGGAAAATGGAATAAGAACAAAACCCCTCCAATTTGTTAATTGAAATTGAACTTCAAATTCCTTTGATGGGTCCTGATCATATTATATTTATATTAGCTATGGAGTTAATTAGGGATCAGTTTGGCTTTGTGGGGAATTTGAGTGTGAGATGGTTTGTGAGTCTTATATTGTTGCAGTTTAAATTCTGAGCAGGCAGTTGATACAGCAGTAAGGGTGTTGAAGGAAGGAGGAATGGATGCTATCAAGTTGGAAGGAGCATCACCTTCGAGAATCATTGCTGCCAGAGCCATTGTTGAAGCTGGAATTGCAGTCATGGGGCATGTGGGACTTACTCCTCAGGCAATTAGTGTGTTAGGGGGATTTGGGCCTCAAGGGAAAAATGTCTCCAGTGCTGTCAAGGTCTCCTCATTCTTTTAAAATTATAATTTATGTACTTGGATGAGTTTATGTTCTGTTGCACTGTTACTTTTTGTTGGTATATGCAGGTTGTGGAGACTGCACTGGCTTTGCAGGAAGCTGGATGTTTCTTGGTTGTTTTAGAATGTGTTCCGCCACCTGTGGCTGCTGCAGCCACATCTGCCCTTCGGATTCCTACAATTGGTATTGGAGCTGGACCTTACTGTAGTGGACAGCTCAATTTTTGAATCTTGTTCCATTAGAATTTCTATTTTTCGCTTCTACTTGGGCTGGTCCATTTGCTGTCAAATTTATGCCATATCATGACAAAAAGGGACATGGGTATACGAAGCTATTTGGGTTGGTCCATTTAGTGTCAAAATTATGCCATATCATGACAAAAAGGGACATGGGTACACAAAGCTATCACGAAATTCCTTAGGAATTTTTATTTTTTTGGACACAAAAGAATCACCTGCAAATGACTGAAAAAGAAGCATGTCTGGTATATGCCCGTCTTAGGTTAATCAAATGACGAGATGTTAGGTAGCACCGATTTTCACTTGAAATTGCTCTTGGTATCTGAAAAATAATCAAGGAGTGAAAGCCAAATATACAGCTTTCTTCATTTTCGTAACAAATTGTACTTGTTTAATTTAGAAAAAATAAATGGCACCTCAAGGTTGGGTTCTTAGTCAAAAATCAAGTACTTATTCCTAACATAGGAATGTTACATGTTAGTTTTTTTATTTGTTTATTTTAAAATTAAAATCAGATTTTTTTTTAAATTAACATTTCACATTTTTTTTAAAGTTACAATTATTAACTAAGAGGACATGATAGACAAACTAATAAATAAATAATATCAACCTTTCTACCCACTACTAATTAATTTCAAGGTTGGATAATTTTTTTTTAAATATAAATTAAAAAATGTCATATATAAAATAAGAATACTCGTAATTCTGCACTGAATATGTTATCAATGGATTATATTCATTATTTCTTAGGATCAGCGGATGTCCAATTCGTACATTTGATTTATTATTTTTTCCTCAAATTTAATTGTACCTTTCATGTTTCTTTCCAGACGGCAATAAAAGACTATAATGATGAAGCTAGTTTAATGTATACCAGTGTACTTAGCTTAGGAAAAGGAGATTTTGTAAGAATTGTTATTGTCCCATATGTCATTATTTCACGAACAACTTCAATATCCTGAGGATACCTCTTGTAGTACTTTTCATTCTGATAAGCAACTTGATCAAAGCAAGCTTCATAAACAGTATCAGCAGTGCATCCATCTCCAATTGGAGGTATTCCTCCAGTCAGAATCACTTGTTTCAATCCTTGTGGTGCAAAACTCAAATAGGTGACAGCACAAAAACCTCCATAGCTCTGCCAGAAAGAGTGAGAAAAGAGTAAAAACACAAAAAGCTATAAACTCACAGCATGCATACTTATTAATTGATCATCACTAGACGCTCCTCATATGAAATGGTGAAATGCACAAACAAAAATGTCGAAATTGAACAGTAATTTTAATACCTGGCCCAAAACTGTCCAAGGTCCAGAACCAGGAACAAGTCGAACACGGATAAACTCAGCATCATTGACTATACTATCAGCACGAAAATGTTTCAAGTAATCAGCCAAATCCCGGGCAGACTTAAATTGCAGCATGGACGATGTTGTCAGCGGAGTTGATAATCCTGTTCCTCTCTGCAAGAAAAAACACATCACCAACCCTCAATAACAACAAGCACAAGTACTCCATTTCATCAAAAAAGCTTCAGGGAAACCATGCCTGATCCATTAATATAACACGAAACTCCTCGCAAGCTTTAAGTATCCATCCACTGCCTTCAGTTGGTCTCGGGGATTCAAAACCCGGTCCACCTTGCAGAAACAGGAGCTATGGTAGTGATTGATCTTCTTTACCAACTGCAAAACAATTCTACATTAATCAGCACATAATATACTACCACTCTACTAATTTCATATGCTAAAAATCCTCAATTCAGATTCCTCTTTTGCAGACTCTTTTTTTTTTTTTTTGGAAAAAATACTAACTGCATTAACGGAATAGACAAGTCAGTATATCCAAGTACAATTAAGAATTCAATTATTTCCAAGTACTAGGAAAATGAAAAACCTAACATGTCCTGGAAAAAGGAAAAGTAAAGCTATGTTGACTTTAGCACTTCTACTTCGACATTCTTGGACCAATTCGAGAAAAGAAGACATAATTCGCGATATTTCAACATTAAACAGTGATTTAACAGAAATAATTCAACTTTAAGTTGATCGCAGGAGGTGGCTCCGTACCAGCAACGACTTCCCGAGCGAAAATGGAGATCTTTAAGGAAGTACCGGGATCTCTGTAATCCAGAGGAACAGTGAAACGGTGATCTCGGAGCCGGAGATCTGGTACTGAGTACCACTTTCCGGCGGCGTGTTCAGGCAATGACTCGCCCGAAGAATCGACTTTGGGTGCTGCCATAGCAATTGTACGGCACGAGTTCCGGCGATAGTGGGGGTTGAGAAGTTTGATAGCCGGAGTTAGTCGGTGAGACACAATGCGTGGAGATAACGAAGAAAGAAGGCCGTACAATACAAGAGGTTTTATCCAGAGGGGTGGCGCGTGCATTACCAACATTTTTGGGAGAGTGAAGACATAGAAACGCGCCTTTTGTCTCTAGAGATTAGATATTAAATTAAACTCTTGAAAATCACCGAGGGCCCCTAATCCCCTATTTAATGCAAGGTTTTTAAAACCGGACCGGTTATTGAACCGTTTTCGGGTCTGATTTTCGGTTTAACCGGTTCAACCGGTTCAACCGATGAATCGATCGGTTCAAATAACAAGGAAAATTTGATGAGAGGAATAGGTAATTTTGTAATTTCATTAAAATGAAGGGTTAAAATCGGTATAAAAAAAGAATGGTGAGGGTGAAATTGGAAAAAATAAAAAGAAAATTGCATGAGAAGTTGAACCGGTGGTTTTTTTGGTTCTACTGGTTCCATCGGTTTTATCGGTTTTGACTGGTTTTGAACGGTTTTGACCGGTTTTGAATGGTTTTTAACCGGTTTTGACCTCAAACGGTTTTTTAATATGAACCGAGCCATTTTCATTACTAGATACCGGCCTGACCGATTCAACCGGCCGATCCGATCCGATTTTAAAAACCTTGATTTAATGTATAGAGAAAAAATAAAAATATTTTCTTATTTAATTATAAAAAAAATTAAGGAAGAGGAAGAGGAAGAAAGTCTTTTGTTTTTTGTTTTATCATGTTATAATTGTTTCTAAGCATATTTTCTAATTTTATTATGTTATAATTGTTTTTTCTTTAAATTTGCTCCTTCAGCATTTAGTGTGTGACATGTGGCCATTATAATTTTCATATCAACATTAACAAATTACTCTATTTATCTAAAAA